GCTTTGTGCATCTTTAGCCCTGAAATTGGAATCATCGCAGAGACATCCTTTTGCACGAGGCTATCGGTCTTACGGTGTTTGGAAGTTGGAAGGATTATCCATTGCACCCTCCCCTGCATCACAAGTGTGCCCTAACCTGAACCCGATCCTCCAGCGCCAAAATGAAGCTTGAGCATCCTTGTGTCTGCATAAGGATTGCCCTCAAACTACCGTGCTTGAAAGGTTAGGAAACAAGGATAAATGGCAACTTTCTTGCGGGGAAACCAGTACTGAGGCTTTGGGCGAGTCGGCCCTAGTTGTCCATTTTCCTTTTAATGTCAAATACTCGTGAAGGGAGATATTTATGGTCCTTAGCAAGACCTGAAGAAGGCAACGTTTGAACTCTGGGACATTAAATTCGGGGGTAATCCCTGGGGTGAGAGAAGAAAAACAATCATCTCAACGAGGGGGGGTAAGGCGTGCGGGTACCGGTACGTTAAAATAAAAATGCATTCGCGGAGCCTGCTGTCCCTGCAATGCAAATGGACAGGCAGTGAAAGCCCCTATCAGTGGCTTCTGCTACCCCTGTTGTGGTGAGGTATACCGTAACCATCACCAAGGATTCACAGGTAGGCCCTCGTTACACTTTAGTTGTTTTGCTTTAATAAAGCGGATATATTTAAAGTTGTTTGCCCTTTTCATTAAGGAAAAATGACACAAACAGTCCATGAATTTTGACTAAATGTGCAATTTGATCCCTAAACTTTTAATTTGTTCAATGTAGTCCCTGAACTTTAACCCAATGTTCAATATGGTCCATGAACTTTCAATTTGTTCAATGTGGTCCCTGAACATTTGATATATGTTTAATATAGTCACTGAACTTTATAAAAATGTTCCATGTAGTCCTTCCATTAATTCAAGTTTAGGGACTATCGCCTTTGACCCCGGAGCCCCTTTGATCTCTCTCTCTCTCTCTCTCTCTCTCTCTCTCTCTCTCTCTCTCTCTCTCTCTCTCTCTCTCTACGCTGGCATCAAGCTCTACGACATGTCGAGCTCCGCGTTCTCCAACGGAGGCAGCAAGCCTCCAGATCTGGGCTTGACCGTTCATCTCTATCATCAGGGCTTTGAGCCGCCGAGCATGGTGGAGCAGTGGCGTTGCAAATAACAAGGAGAGAGATAGATGAAGGATGGCTCGGAATCGACACCTGTGAATGCGTGCGGTGGTAAGCAATGAGGAGGCTGAGACGGTGTCGCGACCTAAATTTCCTCAGGCTAATGGATTATTAAGACTAAGCCTAACTCGGGCCCTCCCAGGCCCTATCAATTCGCAACTTAAGTTTTAAGTTTTTAACATGCAAAAGTTTTCATGCTTGGAGTCGCCACTAATCTATTTGTGGTAGGTCGATTAGAAACCTAAATAAAACATAGGGAGATATGTTTTATTCCTACGAACCAGAGATTCTAAGCTCGGGGACTTGATTACGCTAGATCTAGTCTAACGCCATTTCGGTACCTTTTCTTTTCAAAAAATGTTTATGCAGGCAGTCTGGATCCATTTTAACTTAGTCACTAGCATGTGAGGTGATCATGCGGGTGCGCAAACCACCAAAGTAACACCCAATAATCAAAACATTAAATAAATTGCAAGATTGGGAGAATTACTTACCTCGAAGCAACGTAAGCATCTGCATTGTTAGCTAGAAAATCACATCAACAATCCTAATATGATTTCTAATTAACAAGCAGTTCACTCAATATTTTTTAGGATTTTCACTTATTTAAATGAAAGCTAACCTATATGTAATGACGTGCAAAAATTAACATGCGATTAATGCAGCCTAACATGCAAACTATATGTCATGCGATGACGTGACCTAATTCTAATGACGGACAAATGATTTATTTTTGAATGAATTTCGGAATTAAAAAAATGCCTAAATTAACATGCAATCTATTCTAAAAAAGGTTAATTTAATCTATCCTAAAGTGACTTCTTTTTGGTATTTTTATGAAAATTCGAAATCAAGAATTACCCTAAAATGAACCATCGAGATTAGGATAATATCTAAATTAAACTAGGAAATAAATTACTCTAATTCCTAATTTAAATTAAAAAGTCATCCTATCGACTTATTCAAAGAAAGTTATTTTCAACCTATCCTAAACATGCATCATTATCTTCTAATAAGATCAATTCAAATCCTAACTAATCTTTTTTGGAATTTTCTTTTTAAAGGAAATAATGAAACGAAGATAACAATCACATTCAAACAATCTACGCAATCCGCAAGATTCTTCAAATTCGGATAAGGCAAAGAAATCAAACTAACGATCATATCTATAGGGTTATAGATATTGACAGAAAGTTGATTGTTTAAATTTGGAAAGCAAATAAAATCTATTATCGTATCCAAGTGATTATGGATAAGATAACGATTTTCCGTATCGCCGCGTATCGTACCTTAGGGATAAGGTCGGATAGTCGTCCAGATACGTTGCCAAATTAGGAACTAATTTTGGGTATTTTCGAATATTGCGAATATAGCACACATCATCCTAAGATATCTAGCAATCCATGCACTATTCACGAAATATTCGAGCATCCGAAAATTAGGAAACCAAATATTCTGAAAATATTGGATAACATCCTTACCTAATTTCGGGATATTTCGAAATTTGAACTCGAGGATCGGGATTGCGGATCGGGATGACTGACGGCGGGTGGACCGGCAATGGATCACGAGCAGCTCGTCTCGATGGTGGTTCACGGTGGTGACACAGCAAAGATGTCACGGCTCACTGCAACAGCAAGGGTTCGGTGGGGCCTTGCTGGATGTTGCTTGATGAATGTCAGAAAGAATGAACGTGAACTGGACCAACACTTGACTTTTCTGGACTTGGTGGTGACTGGGAACCCACTAATACTTCACTGCAGAGACACCACCGAGAATCCTGTGAGAAGCAACAGCAGCAACGTTGATCGTTGGTCAGCGGTCAGACTCGGAACAACGGCATGCTTCGTTATCTCGCAGTTAGAGGGCACAGCAACATTGTCGTCGATGGAAGCAGGGACGGCAGTTCACGGCCACAGGTCTGGTCGTGAGCAGAGGGCGCGGCAACGGACAGCAAGAGGAGCTACGGCAAGGGCGGCAGCAGCACGGGCTGTGACTCGAGCGTGGTGTGGCGGCGCGGCGAGGCACGGGACAGTGGGCGGTCGACTCGGCACAGAGGAACGACTGCGACCGTCGGGGCGGGAGCAGCGGCAAGCGTCAGCGCGGCGTCGGCAGGAAGAAGCAGCGACAGCAGCGACGGCGATGGTGCGACTCGAAGCAGCAGCTTGGCGTCGGGGCTAGAACAATGGCAGCGGCTGTTGACCAAAATTCCACGAACATGGACTGGTCGAATTGCTAGACACCTGGACTCCTTGAAGATCACTCTGGAATTGGAAGCTTTGGCTACGGTAAAGAGCAGCCACAACGTTGTCGGTTCAACAAGGAACGGCTGCGTTAGTGGTTGATCGTTGGACGGAGATAAGCAGCCGCGGAAGGAAAAGATCTCAACTTTCTCCCCACTCTCTCCTCATGTGTATCTCTTGTGTTCTTAAGAATTGTGTTCTGGAAATTCTGAGAGTCCCCTAATTATGACGCATAACGACATATTTATATCGCAACCCTAGGTTAATTAACCGGGCTTCCTAGTCCTAATGGACTTAGACTTAGGCTTTATCATTTAATTTAATTTTAATTCCAGATGGGCTAAATTAATTCGGGCTGATTTAAGCTCAAATTAAAACAACCAAAGCCTTTTAGACTTGTGAATTTTGGCCCCCGAGTCCTTGAGCGAGCCGAGTGCTCGAGCTCGGTTTACGCGATGAATTTTCAGCTTTCTTGCCACCGCCGATCTGATGCGGAATGCAACTAACCTATATGAACTTAAACTATATGCTATGCAATTTTAATATTTTTATTTAGGGGTTAAACTTTAATCCCTAATTTTCTATGCAAATTATTATTAAATGGTCGGTCGAAATTTAGGTGTCAACAGACGGCGACCGGTTCGACAGCGGTTGCGGTGACAACTTTAACTATGCTAGGGTGGCTAAGTTAGTAGGGCGGTTTGTGTTTCCTGGCAGGGAAAAGTATATAACCGAGACGAGGGCATTTTAGGAAGAATAGCCAACGATCTTGTAAATGATTGTGTAATGATAACTAATCTAACCTGCAAATTGGTATTGAAGATGAAAGCTCGGAATTTAAACAGGTTATATTATAATAGAGGAGGAAAAATGGTAATGGATTAAGAGTTGACGATAGCACTTGATATTTTTGGGAAAAAAAAAAAACAGGTGTTCAAACACATGGATCATGAGATATAGCCTGTAACGACCAGGTCTGATGAGGGCATGGAGTGATCGCAGGGGCCAAAAGGCTTGGACAAGGAGCGGCTCTTGACAGGTTTCTAGAATAGCGAAGGGGGTAAGAAATGAACCGAACTGCGTACTGAACAGGGGGAGAACGATTATGAAATATATCAATGAAAACTGAAATTAACTAGCAGAGGGGCCCTTTGACGTAACGGCAAACTTTACTTTGGAACTCCAAAGTTAAGCTTCCAAAGTTAAGCAAGCTCAGGTTAGAGCACTACTAAGATGGGTAACCTCCTGGGAAAGTGCGTGTCTGTACATCAAAGGACGAAACCGTAAGACTCAGTATGGGACAGGCCAAAGTAGATAATATCACGAGTGAATTAATCCAGGGATGTGACATAGCTAGTATTGGAGTTACTCCAAGATGCATGTGGTTATGACGGGGAATCCGATACTTAAGTGGACAAGAGAAGTCCCAAGAGTAAGAATTTTATCTTATTGGAAACCAGTCTTATGTAGACAGCCAAGTTTCATATCAGAGGCGAGGCTTACGGAAAGGGTATCCGATATAATATAGCCAATCGGAGTTTCCTTTGATGCCATGTCAGTCGTTCAGGATTCATCGGAACGATCACCCACATGCTGCTTATCGTAGCCATTAATCACGATCTATTCATGCATCTGACTCTTTACAAAACTAAAAGTTTGCACCAGCAACAAAACTAGGCGTGCACAATCAAGGTCGTTATTGACATGAAAAATCATGGGAGTACAAGTGCAATGGAGCGTCTACCACCTATCACGACGCATCTCCTCTTACAAGGTCTGGTTGTCCATCACTCCTTCCACTGAGGCAATCTTTGTACCGCAACCTGCAAATGAAACACACGAGCAGAGATGTTTGTTAGACCAGTATGTCCCCAAGAAACAAAAGTGCTTCTCAAATTGCGTTTGTTTCATTGAAAAATATTATCCATGAAAATCATTTTCAATGAAAATGATTAGTTTTCATTTGTTTGGTGATTTAGGGAAATTGATTTCCTTCTTGTCAAAAGGGAAAGTCGTTTTCCCCCAATCTAAGCTTGTCGTTTTCAATCTATGGAAAATGTTTTTCATATATCGATTAGTTTTCCATCATCCAATCACCGGAAAATTGAAAAACAATTATCGGGAAACAGTTTTCTTTCAAACAGACGGAGCTTAATCCGTGACAAACACAGCTTACTTTCTTCCAGATTTCAATTAACTTGCAAAAATGCTTTCTAGCAACTAAGGGACAGTACAGGTCCATGTGCTTTACCTTTCCAGAGTTTTCTTTATTCCCCACAATAGTTTGACAAGCAAGTCTCCAGGATTCAGGTTTCTGGCAGTCGGAGCCATTGTTAGAACAACTTGATTATCAAGGTTATAACCTGTATCCGTTAGATTAACAACGGAAGAGAGAGAGATAGAGAGCTTACTTTCTTCAAATACCGAAGTTCAGTGTCGGTTCTCTCATTTAGAAGATCCTTCCCATCAATAATCTGCCCAACAGGACAAGTTTCGATCATCCAATAATAGACACAATCTTCAAATTGTAGGATAATACTTAGGCAGCTCATGTTGGTCTCTAAGCTCTACACATGACTGCAAGGCTCGGCAACAGAAAGAGAACCATGCACATGAAGAAAGCACTCTTAACATCTTCATCCCCTGAAAGTACATGCTCTAAGAATGCAGATCTATATCATATTCAGACCTCGAGAGCCCTTCATCCTTCATGGTTTGATCTCATTAAGGTGGTTTAAGCATCGGTTTGTTCGAAGCATCCACTCGAGAATTCTCAGCTCAAAAACTACACTGAAATTTCATTCTTCCATCTCAAGAAACCAGAAACATCTGTGCTCTTCCTGAAGTGAGCTTCACTATCACTTCTACGACGATATACTCCGGCGTCCTAATTCCCTGTCTTAAATACAAGAGCTACACAGCAAACTGCCGAGCCATACATACATACATACCTCCACAATGCAAGTTCCACAGCTTCCACCGCCGCCACAATTCATCACTTTCCCCTGCAAGAGAAGAGAATATCATCAAACACTTCTAATGCATCCCAAAACTCACAACCACGCTTTAACCACAACAGGTACTCAAATTTCACAATGCATTGAGAAACCAATCACGCTATCGAATTGATGACGAGCATCACCGACCGAATCGTAATCTATGTCCAAAACTCATCAAACAGCGAGAAATTTGCACGAAGAACGAACTTACATACGTGGCATAGAGCTCGATCTTGTTCTCGTTCATGATGTTCCTCAGCAGCTTCTCTCCGCTTACGGCTCTAGCCTTATCCACCGGATACGAACCGTCAGCCGCCGGCTTCGGCTGCCATCAAAACCGCTTCGTAATCAGCAACACAAATTTTCCTCACGCACGGGATCAGCATTTCCTCTAACTAACATGACGACTATTCGCAGAAGTTCCATTCACAAACTACAGAATTCCCGGAACGCGTGATAATCAGTCGGGGGCAGAAGTGATTACCCCGACGAACTCGAGCTCGATCTCCGGCATGTCCGGCGCGGCCGACGACGGTTCCGTCGAGCTCGCCGCATTCGACGACAGAGCGAGTCTCTTCCGGTGAATGAACTTTGAAGGTCTCTGTTGGTTTCCGAACTCAGAGGCCACGTCCGATTGCCGGAGGTGTACGGCCGCCGCGGCGGAGGCGGCAGCGGCGAAGCTCAGGGAAGCCATTGTTGCCGCTCCTTCCTCCTCCGCCTCCCCTGCGAAATTTTTTGTACGCTGAAGATTTCTGGTTCACGTTGCTTCTGCTCGTTCGTGGTTGTGGCTCAGCCGCGAGGCGCTTCCAACCGAAGTAACTGAAGACTGGTCACAGAGAGAGATTTCAAAAGAGCCCCCCAATTAGACTCCTTTTCTCAAAGTAACCCCGGAAATGGTACTTCGTTTTTCAAATTGACCCCCGAACGGAAACACCGTGTTTCAATTGACTCCCCACCAACTCATCACCGGAGGTGGCAAAATGGGTCTAAAACCCATATTTGAACTCATAAATGGGTCATAAACGGGTTAATGAGTCGATTTGGATCAGACCTTTTATGACCCTACCTAAACTCGACCTGACCCGACTCATCTGTTTGACAGGTCTACTCATAATTGGTACTAAATTCCTCCATCTGGCCAACTTCCCGCAGTTGTGAAGGGCGCAATTTTGTCCCAGAAATAACATTTCCTCCCTAACGAACACTAGATTATAAGATCATAAAATTGTCGGACCCAATTGATCTAAGCTTTTACCACGAAAATTTTCTTCGTCTTAATCCGTAAAGAAGCTTGAATCACTGTGTCTAATTCATGATTTTGTCGAAAATTTGTACATGAGATGAGAGCAACCAAGTCGGTAATTTCGTGGATTCCCAAATGCATAATCTTGTGCTGACGAGATACTCCAGCTCCGTTGTGGTTGTGATATTTTGTGGAACATTGCCGATTGTTCAAACTATTTTAAAAGCTTAAGCTTTAAGATAAATGCATGTTTAATAATTAAATATTCTATTACTCCCCTCATGCTTAGTCTAGTTTTTTTGCTTATTACTAAGCATCGATATATTTAATTGAGAAAACAAATGGAGCCTAGAAATATTTGAACTCAAGAGCTCCTGCTTTGATACCATATGAAATTTTGTGATCGTATTTAATATTTAAATATTTTATCAGTGGTTACTGAGGGTTTGGTGAAATACTTTAGCCTGCCTAATTGTGGATGCTATAAAATAGAGTTATCACTGTATTCTATAGGTCACTATATGGAGCACTTGCACTTCTAAAGTTAGAAGGGTCCATTTGTTTGAAGGAAAACTATTTTGGGAAAATTGTATTATGACTTTATGGTGTTCGGATGATGGAAAACTAATCGATTCACGAAAAGGTTTGTATAGACTAAAAACGAAAAGCTTAGGTCGGAAGAAGACAGCTTTACTTTCTAGCAAGAAAGAAATCATTTTCTCTAAACCACCAAAAAGATGAAAACTAATCATTTTCCCTGAAAGCGATTTTCAGGAAAATATTTTCCTTTATCACGAAGTTTTCGGTCAAACAAACGCCCCCCTAATTGATAACCTTGACGTGCCTTCCCTGGCACATTTGGCTTCTCAGGCATCTACTGACACTACAAAAAAACACCGGATTAACGACGGAATTTGCGACGAAAAACGTGGAAAAATCCGTCGCAAATCGAATTTGCGACGGATTTTGCGACGGAAAAAATTCCGTCGCTAATCGGTCGTCGCAAAATTTTGCGACGGAAAATTCACAGGTTCGTCGCAAATTTGCGAAGAAAAAAAATTCGTCGCAAATTTGCGATGGCACATAGTCCGTCGCAAATTTGCGATGCACTTTGTCCATCGCAAAAATCCATCGCAATTTCGTCGCAAAATTTGCGACGAACTCGATCCGTCGCAAAATTCGTCGCAAACATCCGTCGCAAAATTCGTCGCAAACATCCGTCGCAAATTCGTCGCAAATTTCGTCGCAAAATTTGCGACGGACATTTGTCCGTCGCAAAAATCCGTCGTAATTTCGTCGCAAAATTTGCGACGAACGTTTGTCCGTTGCAAAATCCGTCGCAAAATTTGCGACGCACGTTTGTCCGTCGCAAAAATCTATCGCAATTCGTCGCAAATTTCGTCGCCAAATTTGCGACGCACGTTTGTCCGTCGCAAAATTCGTCGCAATTTCGTCGCAAAATTTGCGACGAAAGTTTGTCCGTCGCAAAATTCGTCGCAATTTTCGTCGCAAAATCGTCGTAAAATTTGTCGCGAATTTCGTCAGAAAATTCGTCGCGAATTTCGTCGCAAATTAGTGACAAACTTTAATGATAGCAAAATTCGGCTTAAAATATTCGTCGCTATTTTTATATCATTTCGGCCATAAATTCTTGTCCATATCAATCAAAGGAGACAATGATATATAATTGAAACAGAAAAACGAACAAACCATAAATTCTGACAAACCAGCCACAATGACATATAATTGAAACAAATAACAGAAGGAAAGTTGTAGAGTCTGACATGATACTATTTGATATCCAATCTTACAATACAGTCAAAACATGAATTAAGAGACGGGACAACCATAGAAGACGCAAAAAAACCATACAGAAGAAGACGCGGCTTTGGTACGATGGCAGGACACCAAAAGTAGTCACTTTTGTCGAGACCTGAGGAAATGTCGATACATAAATCAGTCCAGAATATAAAAAAAGCGTTTATGCATGGATGTGGAACTAGGTGTAAAATAACAAAAGGGTTAACAAAAATACGTTTCGGGACGAACATAAATGTTCTTACATATGAATATGAGTGAAATTATGAAAAACCAAGATTATGAAGCAAGCTTACCCCCGATTTTAAGAATTTTAACTAGAAAGACCGGAGATAATCTTCATCATCATCATCATCAGCAGCATTCTTGGCATCAATGTGTTGGTCATCATTGTTCCCATCACCTACTGGATTGGCTGGAGGTACAGGAGGATCGCCATAGCGATTGATGTTAAGGTGTTGCATAACGACTCTCATTTGTTCTTCCAAGTTATATATGTGTTCATCCTTCTTAACAAGTAAATTATTCAGACGATGCACTTCTTGGGTCAATTGCTCGTCTGGTCGTAACCTCCTTCGACCAGTCCCAGTGGATGATGAACTTCCAGGATTATTCGGCATGTACATCCTTGATAATGATCCCATCCCAAATATTTTCCCTTTTCTCGCCCCACCCGTTGCCTCCATCCATAATGCCATATTATCAACTGGTGGCCGGGACTCAGGACAATCATCACTACCACTAGCACTGCTCATTAAAAGTTTATCATATTTTTCCTACATTAACAATGTAGATGAAAATAAAATCACTATATATATATCTACCAAAAATATTGAAAGCATTCACGGTTTTCATTATAGTTTACATATAAGCCAAAGTATAACCTTACATACCTTAACAGCTTTTGCTCGATCGCCAGTCCATGTCTTATCTTTCTTTTGAAATGTGCGTTCAAATGTAGCTGCAAATGTCGGTTCCGTCCCCAATTCATGTGCCTACAAAATGTAAACATGAGTAATTGAATTAAATTAACTTATAACTCATTTAACAGACTTACCATTCGTTTGCGATGCTCCGCAATGTTGATAGAGCCCCCAAAGATATGTGGTCGACCCATCACTAGAACTAGAAGATCGATTCTTCTTATTCGCTCACGAGTTGCCGACTGCTCGGATGCCCAAAATGTGTTAATTGCCTCCCAATTGTCAGTGTAAAGAAAGACGGCTTCGCTTGCTTGCTCTTCGCTCTATTCATGACATTTCGCATAAAATCACTTATTTTCTTATCGAAAATTCTTCTCACTTCATTGTCTTCCGCTTCCTCCCACTTGAACTTCCGCTGCAATGAATAAAAACACAAATTGAAAATTATTATGATGATTACATATCCATAACCATGCACCAGACAAATATAGACAGATTTTGTAAAGTTCATGTCGGGGAAAATATCTGGGCCTTTAGGTATCGAAAACTACAGAGTTGTTATGTTCCCTTTACATTATTCTTGACCATCAATATACTACACCACACTTAATTGGTGAGAAAATAAAATATGTAAAACTTACCTTGAACTCATTCCACCACATTTCTTTCACTTCTTGTGGAACATTTCTGTAAGTAATATACTCTCCCATCCAAAAGTTTCTTACTATTTTGTTCAATTCCCTCACAACAGACGGAGCATCCGTGAATCTGCATTCATATGAATATTGTGCAACATGGACAATTCAATTGACATCAATATCTAAAGCCCTAAATATTACATATACTAAAATAAAAATGAAGTACTTACGAATCTCCAAATGGGCATATGAAGAATCGGTTATCTTCTTGACCTATGTTTCCGTCAATATTCAATTGTTCCGCCGAATAATGGGGTGGAACGGAAGGAGATGGAGCTAAAGGAGATTGAACTAGAGAACGTTCAGTTCGCATGTGGCCAAGTCCCGTAACATGTTGTTGAGTGTTGGAGGAAGGGCCAACGTGTCCATATTGTGATGGACCATATTGTGGTTGAGGGTTAGATGTCGGGATAGGGGAAGAGGAAAGGGACGGGGACGAAGACGAGGAAGAGCCTTGTCTTCTAGGCATGTGACCTCCACGTTTAAACTGACAAGTAGGAAGGTTATGCGAATATGTAAAGAACTATTGACACGTATTACGAACATATAATGATGAACATGACGAAGCTTACCATTTTGATGGAAAGACTGAGAAAATGTTTCCTTCAAATGAGCCAATGTCGAGTGTTTATGACGTGCAATTTCTTACAAACAAATATACTATGAATCACATTCATTTTGATATGAAACATCAATGTATGAGCACGATTTGGGTGGCTACAGGTATTAAACATCACTATATGAATCGCATTCATTTTGATTAAATTTTTTTTGACAACGTACAACAATTTAAATTTCATGAAAGTGGGTGGCCGCAGTATTCCGAGTCATTCTCATCAGGTTTTGTAAGAAAAAATTATTATTATTGCAAAAAAAAATTTTGGGCCTTAAAAAAAAATTTCACTAAAAGTTAGTGGCTACAGATATTCTAAGACATTTTGTAAAGTTTTGAAATTTTAAAATTTTAAGCATTTTTAAATTATTATTTTTTAATATAAATTTGAAATCGTGAAATAAAAAAATTTGTCCATACTAAAATTGGGTGGCCACAGGTAGTCTAAGCTATTAGGTAAAGTTTCCAAAATTTTTGTCCTTATTTATTTTAATAATTTTTA